CCCCCCCCCCTTGACACGAAGTGCTCGCAACGGCACTGAGTATATATCTTTTGAAAACAGGTGAGGGGTTATTGCATGCATGTATTTCTAGTAAGTCGGTAACATTGAAGTTGCAGAGGAAAAACAATGAGCGCAGAACTGGAAGGGATTCATTTGGTTATCTATTTATTATGTGGGAAAACAGTGAGCGTTAATTTTGATGTTTGGTAGCATAATAAAAAACTATAATATGCTAAATAATATGTTTAAAAATGCAACACTTACTCTACTACCCTGGGGATATCTCAGGGTTGATTTGAAAATTGTGATGTACATTTATGCCTTAAGTGTACAAAATGAACGGTTGCGATTTAGTGCATGTAGCGAGGACCACCCAAAACAATGGTCAAAAAGTAATGAATAGTTAAAAAAAACAGGATGATTTTTCAAAATTACCGGGAAGCAAATCTATGACTTTCATTCCCATGGGCCATGGCTTAAAGTGGAAATTTTGACTTTGTGTTGTGCAATTTGTATAGGTATAAATATATTGTATGGCTTTAAGTGCAATTTGGATAAAACATATAAATTGTTTTAAAGTCTATTTCAAACAGCCGCAGCCTTGGCCTCATTCGAACAATTAAACCCCAAACATACTTATTGTACAACTTTTAATAGTATTACGCGCTTGATGCACGGGCTTTAGGACCAATGCAATTTGACAACAATAGTATTTTATCTAAATAGCTGTTAAAATAAAGTTTACGGCGCCTGAACTGTCCAATATCTTGCTTCTAAACCATAAAACATTTACAAAATGCAAATGCTATTTTAATACTGTATAAAATGCGCCATATTTAATTACAATTGTGTTGGGACCGATCAGGGGGAGCGGTGTTTTTTGGGGGGAGGGGGGGATTACTTTTTTAAATATGGCTATTTGGTTGGGGGGGGGGAGGTAGGTAGTTTTTGTTTCCCGAAGGGAAAAGGGGGGAGATAAATTTTGAAATTGCAAACGATTCTTACATATTTAATAAAATGACTTTATTTCGTTTATGAGATGAAATTCAAAATATATGTACCATTTTAAATTTGAAAAAAAGAAAAACAAATACAAACTAATCAGGCCTGCAAACTAATGAAGCAATATTGTGTGCAATTTTTGCATAAAGAAGACTGGAATCTCGTTCTTAGCATTCAGCTCTTTTATATAATTATATAGTTGAAAGTTTACTAGTTGAATTATGTTCAATGGAAGTTCAATGATGGTTCTTAATGGTTCTTAACTTCTTAGTGACTCCGCTGAACGGAATGATGCAGTCAATGGTTTACACCTGAAAAAAAAACATAGTGGGAAAAGTTTCGAAAAAGGTATTTTTATCTACATTTTATAATAATATTTATAAAATATTATTGCACTTTTATTTTACATGCATGTTTATATTATTCATTAAAACGATATTTTTGTATAACTTTTTCTTGTTTTGTAGATAAAAGATAGATAATTTAATAGATTTTACATGGCAACCGAATTGACTGAATTGCGTAAAATTAATTGTATGCCAAAATACGCAATCTTGCTTTTATATTTAAAATGCAAATGTTCGATATTATATCTCATTAGCAAATTCGCAAAGCCTTGTAATTTGATGCCTAGTGCGATTGGGGGTATATTTAATGTATGTATATATTTCCAAAAAATATAGCGGTGTGTATATTTTATTGTTTTTAAAAAAACCACACACCCCCTGAGACGTAATAAAGATTGGTCCCTATAAATATGGCGGATTTTGAAAATATACAGTATTTGCATAATTATATGTAAATGTTTTATGGATGTAGAAGCAAGATATTGAACAGTTGAGGTGCCGTACACTTTATTTTAACTGCTATTTAGATATAACTACTATTGTTGTCAAATTGAATTTGTCCTGAAGCCTGTACTTGATGCATGTGGGTGAGATTAGTGAGTATTTCAAAGACTGAAGAGAGCACGAGTCCGAAGTACGAGTGCAGTTTGTAGTCTTTGAAAAAGTCACGAGTGTATTTCTGCGATGTGATTACAAGCCTATATTCACTGAGCTGCGAAGTGAATATAGTAAAATATCCAAAAGGCCATCCCGCAACGGATCACTGATTAAGCATTGGGGAAAAGGAAGGTCCATTGTTTCCAAATGAAACACGGAAATGGATCCGCAGCAGAAAGCCACAAGGATGGGAAACAGAAGGGTGGGAGGGTGGGCGTTTTTACAACACACAAGAGTAAACAACACCCTGACGCAGCCCCCTCCTTCTCGCCCCCCCCCGCCCCCTTTTCCGGTCCTAATTTCTTTATCTTGCACTTTCTCTGTCTTGGCGATCAGCACAGAAAGAGCAGTTACAACCTGTAAACTAGGGTTTTATGCATTGTACATCATTATTTATTCATAAAACAACGTTAATTACTCAAATTCCATTAGTTAATCAGCTTCCGCGGCGTGTTCGGCCAATTTGAATAGTAAAATATCCAAATGGCCATCCCGCCACGGATCACTGATTAAGCATTGGGGAAAAGGAAGGTCCATTGTTTCCAAATGAAGCACGGAAATGAATTCCTCCGCAGTTCAGTTACTACTCGCTCCCAACAATACATCTCCCCAATATACCCAAACCCCCATTCTCATATACCCAAACCCCCATTTTCATCTACCAAATCCCCATTCTCATATAACCAAACCCCCATTCTCATATATCCAAACCCCCATTCTCATATACCAAACCCCCATTCTCAAATACCCGACAACCCCGCCGAGTCGCCTGTGCCACACACACAAGCCAATCTATAATCGATTAAGCAAACAAACCGGCAATGGATATGGAAAAGCGATAGGTGGACTAGCATGGTCAAGCGACAATGAACGCAGAGAATAACCCGGAACTGATGCCACAGGTCTGGTCCCCGGGAGAAACTTCCACCCAATGACTCGCTTCGTAAGACGCTCAGAAGCTGCTACCGAAACAAAAAACAGCCATACCGACAGGCTCCCATGCAGGCACAACAACTGTTTGACAACGTTTGAGACGTTAAGCGAGTGGCGAGAGAAAAGATGAACAGAGAAGTAAATCCCCAAAGCACCCCCCGGAAGGACCAGAAAAGGGCAACAGTTCCAGCACAACTGCTAGAGTCGAACACAAAGAGCTTTAGATAGCCCTGGGAAAGTTGACCACCACCTGCCAAGAAAAGAAAGAAGAACCCAAGGAACGCAAACGAAAGCAAGTTAGCGAGCGCAAACACAAGATCAGTAATTTCATACCAACTCGAAAAACAGATATTGCGCAAGAATTGGGTGATTCGCGTATGGCACGGAAGGTATACTGTCCTGAATCGCCAAAACATTGGCCCTTGTCTGTCCAATCCAAATGCAGTAAGCACGTGCGCTCGGTCTCAAGCAATCATGTATGGCGATACGCACCTCTTGCATTTGCAAACATAAGCAATTTGAATCAAGCCGTGCGTGGTTCATGCACTGTTCGTGCTCAATCCCAAGCAATCATGGATTGGGTCTATTGGGAGATGCCTATCTCTGCTTGCCCAAACATATAAGCAACGGACCACTAAACAAATTCCGTAACTGCGAGACGCCGCTCCCGCGCATGCACCAAACTCATTAACAAATGATTTCCAAATTCCAAATCAATAGCTGCCATTGTTGATCCCAAGCAATCATGTATTATAAAATGCAATCCTCTCATACGCGAAACACCTGAGCCGGTTCTTTCAATC